TACATGCATGCATACATACATACATACATACATAAACAGGATAGAGGGAGATGGGCATGTATGATTAGAATATACAATTGATCGTACTACCAACTGCTGTTCACCATTTCCGCCCCTTAAAAACATTGCGAATGGATGCTCGACTGATACTACTAATATTTATTTACTGTACTTTGTCAATCAGATTATTCTAATTCGTGTTGCTACAACGGTGGTTCGTGCTGCTATTATATTTCACACCATGCCTGTGCTTGTCACCTACATGGTGTCCATGTTGCTGTAGGGCTTGTGAGTATGCCTGAGTGCCATGCGCCGTGTTGTGGTGCCCAGTATTATTACACGGATACTGCTTGTGATTGTTAGCGTAGCCTGCCCGCTTGGGATTGGTGCGGAAGTGAGTGTCATTCATCCTGCCGAGTTTGGAGTCTGTAGTGTCGGATTCCCCGCTGGTCAGTGTTTCATCGTCCACCGCGCCGACATCACCTCTCGAAGTCTCCACACTACCACATTGCTGCACACGCCCCAGATTGGTAGATAGAAACTGCTCACCGCAGTCTCTCAGCGCTCTCATCCTATTATCCTCAGTCTGCGACGAACGATCGGACCTACCCTTAGTCGGTCGGTCGGGTTGTCGGTCATCGCGCTCAGCATTTCGGGTGCAGTTGGTGCCAGTTGTACTATTCACGAAGACATTCTGTGCCTCGTTCAGCGACCCACTGCCCCTTGGCTGAGGCCGTCTGCCTTCGCCGGCCTCAGTAACTAAATGCTGCGTTGGATTGCTGTCCGATAGGAGGTGGTCCAGAAAAGACAGGAGCTCCTTAGTGATTGTGGCTGGGTTTTCAGACCGGGGTGCACCAGTACCCTTCGCCAACTCGTCATCTACAAAGTTGGTCAATAGATTGGTATCACCAATCGCGCTCTCGTCGGTATATGTACTATCCATCATCAATCGATAGACTTCATCCGGATACGCACTTGCATCGAAATTAGTGTACGTGCGAGGATTGAAGCTCGGAGTCTGACTCACCCCTGTAGTATTTCCGTCCCAGCTCGCCAGACCACGGACAGGCGTCATAGTATCAACTACCGCATAGGAACCTCGATGCTTCTCCAAGTCCATATCAGACTCCCGCGTACAGGCTCTCACATCGCCCTGGGCTTCGGGCACTAAGTTAATGATATCACGGAGATAATCAGAGTGCATGGGATCACTTCCACTTACACTGGGTCGTAGTCTGGCGTCCTCGTTCTGCTCCTGCTTGTTGCGTGACTGCGCCTCACTCATGATCTGGATCTGTTCTGTGTCCAGATAATACGCATCTGGAACCGGTAGCCCCGACGCCGACCTCGCAGACCCGGTATGTGATACTTGCGCACCATGTGCATCAGTATCTGGGGCCGATTGGCCGTCACACGACGATACATAGACTTCGACCGCTTGCTTACTACAACTACGGCAGCATGTGCATTCGAGCGGGCTTGATCCGGTCCCGGGTCCAAACGAGGAGCTTCTATTCTGACCACCTGCACTGTAAGCATACGCATGGTTGAACCTCGAATCGCGATTGGGATCGGTGTTAGGGTTGTAACAGTCCTCTTGCGCACCTGTATTCATGGGATCAGAGCGTCTCGCATTGTTGTAGCTGCTGTTCGAGGCGAAATTGGTTTTACCCACCATCCTCGGGTTGTATGTACCGTCAAAATTAATATTTGTATTAGTATGCGCGCCCTTGCTCTTCCTCACGGTGGTGTCCAGAGTGTGCGGTATATAGTCACCGCTCTGTGGCCATTGAGAGCAGTTGTTGCGAACCCTTCCGATTGCATTTCCCGATGCAAACATCTGAACACCATACTCGTTCAAGGCCGGGAAACAGGCACCGTCACAACACCCCGGACCGCTAGAGAGTCTCCCGGTTGCTTCCTGAGGCGTAGACTTGCGGGTATTCATCATGGATGTATCGAACTGCGTGTGCACATGAGATCGCTGGGTCTGCGACATGGATGCCGAGGCCATATCGCATGTACCCGCCCCCTGCTCTCGTAAACCACGCCTCTTCCGTTGGTGATGAGGATGCTGGTGTTTACTGTGCTCGATGTCGTAAACCTGAGTACTATGATAGGCGCTGCCATTCCCGGAATCTGTTGCGTTGAGTTGGCTACTGTCGCTGTAAGGCGTGGTAGCACTTGTCGACTCGGTCTCAGCCCCGCTGCTGACTCGACCTCGTATTGCTTTATGCATACTATGGAAGACTGGCTTACCATTCCTCGCTTCTAGCGTACTTACCTCCCATATGCATTTATCCGTCATCGATGGGTGTTCCAGGACAGGAGAGGGACTGGGCCTACTTTGCCCCATGCCTGCATTGGCGTTTGCGCGGCGTGAGCGAGCTTCTGGAGCTGCCAGTCTTTGTGGTTTAGGTCGCTGTCTTGCAGCAGATGTGCATCTTGGTAAAGACTGCGCCAGGGTTTCGAATATATCTAAGTCTATGTCAGTCTCATTAAAATCATTCGTCGTCTCCATATTCAGGAGGAAGTACCCGATATTGTCTGTCCCCTCATTCCCCTTGACATCACTTCTATCGACTGACTGTGACTGTGGCTGCCGTGTTGACACACCATCAGCATTATGTTGGGCACTATTGCCAGAATCTGGCTCGACTGGAGTTGTCCCCGAATCTGACGCACCGTCTGACCCCGAAATTTCCATTTCGAGCTTGACCTTGTACGGATATTCCGTGATGAATGAAGCCGCGTCAGCCCTCAATAGTCCGGCATACAACTCTAGACCAAATTCGTACTCGGAATCGTTGATCTCACTGCTGTTTATCGTGGCGTCTGCAGAGCCCAAACGTTTACCGTCTTCCGACTGCATGTTATTCTTAGTCTGATCCGTAGTACCACCTTCACTGGATTGGCTCGAGTTGACCGTTATGGACATGCTACTCGTATCCGTTGCGACACCATCGTTATTGCGCTGTGCCATTTGTCCATTCTTTGTAATCATAGCATTATCTGTTGTTGTATCGGAGCCCGTATCTGAGTCTCCCATATTATTACCCGATTCCGAACCCCCACTATCCGAACCTGAAGTCTCCATCTCAGGGTTTTGTCTATCTGACCCCGAGGTGTCCATCTCAAGACTTTGTTCATTCACGTTGTTCTCTTCCGAAGAACCGGCGTGTCCTGTCCCAGTACTGCCAGTACTGTACTCTAAAAAGTTTCTCATGCTAGAACTGTCATCGGACTTCGCAGTTTGGAACTGATCGATGTTTCGATTACAATCTCGCAGACCTGTCTCGTTGTCTGAACTCGTTCTCTCGTCCATCTCCTCGCCATCTTCCGCCTGAGACGTTTGCATTTCGATTGCTTCGTCATAAGAAACGTTCTTCGCAGCCAATAACTTCTTGCACTCCCTATCTTCACAATTCAACTTCGGACTCGATATAGAGTCCAAAGCATATGCACAGGCACTCTTCTGGGCACGTAAATCTGTAGGACTTTCGTCGGCCCGATCTGAAAGTGTACTACGCTCTTTATGCCCATTATGTTTCTCCTGTGCGAGCAGAGATTTTACTACAAGTGAGTGAGCGTCCGTACGGGTACTTGCTGCCGACTGCTTCCTGCCTTTACTACTCTTTTCTTTGTTGTGCTCTGATATACTCTTTCTAGGGCCTACCTTCTGAGTATAAGAGTGTACACGTGTAACTTTGTTATGTGTATCTGATATCGGTGCCTTTTCTGATATCGTGAAACTCTCATCCTCGTCACGATCCTGCAGCTTCTTGGCCGAATCGCAGGCTCCGAGTAATTTCGAACCCAATTGTTGTACCCGAGAACCTTTCTTCCCAATTACTGGAGATGGCTTTGCTGTGACAGCGCTTCCACTACTGTTTCCGCTACTAAAACTCCTACCAATATCGGGGACGATATAATTTCTCTTCTTCGTCACAGAGACTCGGCTCCTTTCTCCCACTTTGCGATCAGTATGGCTGCTTTCTTCACTGGCAGTGGGTCTGTTAGTGCAGCATTAATGAAACATCGGTCAGATGTATATTGAACGTGCCGCTCAATAAAAACCAATAGGGCAACACACAGTCTGGCAATGGATTCCATCGAAACGGACTGTCTGAGTCATACAAATGGTGCTGACAACTCTTGCTACATAATTTTGAGGGTCCGTCTAGTGTCCTAATGCGCCAGCACGAGTACAATACAAAGCAAACGCAATACAAGACATCCTATCGATACAAGCACACGCACTCAAAACTATACACACCTAGACTTGCTCTCCAAATCATTTTCTTCGTGACTCAGAGTCGTGATGGACGTAGCTGAATTTACATTCGAGGTCGTGACGTCCTCCTTTGTACCAACAACTGTCTTCGTTGAAGTGGACATAGGTTTCTTCGCGGTGAATTGGTGCACCGTCTGCCTCCAGGGCATTGCTTGAGACAGCATCGATGCTCTGACATGCTGCGGTTGACCCCTGATGGCAACAGACAACGAAGTTAGCTTTAACTAAATTTCAGACATAGGATACCAAGAAGAAATATTTAATTGATACAGCAGAGCCATATTATATACTTCAAACCCCAATCAATATACACTAACCCGTATCGGCTACTGTTGAGGCTGGAAATAGAGAAGCCAGAATATACACTAACCCCAGTGGTTCACATTTACATACCGATTACATTTGATGCTGGAAATAAGTCTCTTCGCCACAGAATTGGCCTGTCCAAACCTTCTGTACTCTGGTTGTCCACCATAGACATAAGTCGCGGACGCCAATGGCCTCAAGGTATTCGGAGTGATCGCCGAATACACGATAGCAGCATCTGTAAGTAGATGCCGAAAATCTATTATTGGCGCCCATCAAGGCATGACACTCTATAATTGTGTATACCGGCACATAAAACCAATAAACCCCCAAAAAAGGACTCAAAACAACCGATTATAAAAGAGGACACTATCATTCGAGCATATACTTATAATTAAAAATACGATAAAATACGATTCCAAACATCGTGTATTATTAAGGATGCTAGCGCCTTTGAATGCGACTTACTTTTCGGCAGGTACACAATCCTAGTACGAGGCCGAGATTGTGGTGCAGTTCCAACGTGTTTCAGTCGTATATGCTGCAAAGATCATGATTATATAATTGCGTTAAGTGCTTTTTAAAGACATACTTCAAAAGAAAACTCAGCGGACGTGACCAGATACTACTGATATCATGAAATAACGGACCCAAAGCACGGGTGCGTACCTGCAGATAAAAAGGAGGAAAATAAGTATTTCTAGAAGACAGCTAAGCCATATCAGTCAGAAAAGATAAGCAATAGATGCTTATATGACAATGATTTAAATCACCCAGGCGCAATGGTACTAACAAATTACCTGGTTCCTCGCGTGGTCCGATGCATATCCGCGATTGCAGTATTCGCACAAAAAACTAAGCTCATTTTCTGTGTAAACTTTTCGCACGCGTCTTTTACTGACATTTTTGTTTGTCTCTTCTTCTTTCACATCATGGACCAAAGTTACCTTTGTGTCGGTTCTATCATTTGCCAGTGCCATGCGTGTGATATTTATCTAAAGGTAATCCAAATTAATTTTCTGATACTCAACGAATATTCGTGATTTCAAGTAAGCAAACAGGCTGACATTGAGCCTTTCTTGGATTGAATAACTAGGTCTCTTATTGTTACAACAAATAGTGTGCAAGTACGTGGTGACAATATCTCGCTAACAGGTGCGTGGCTTCATTGATTCTCAATACTGAGCTGCTATTATCGATTGATGCAGGCATATATAGTTGTCATTAGTGAAAGAAAGAAAGAAAAAACATAAATACCGTTTATTACCAATTTCATACACAAGAAAAAGGTGTGGTTTTACCCACATTTTTGCTCATAGGAATGAGAAGGACAGAGCTCTTTGCGGGGTGATTTACTCCCATACAATGATACATAATTACAAATGACACAAAATTTTAAATTTTAAAAACGGCATGACTCTACGAGTCTATGGTCCTATATCCTATGGAGTCTCGACTCTCGCGGAGAGACGGAGACTTGATCCTGATTCCTGTTCGCAAAATAAAAACCAACCAAATGATAATAAAATGCAATACATATATTTATTTATTTTAAAGCCGACCTCTCCTGTGCCACTTTGGAAATACGTATTTCTGATGTTTTTTTTAAAAGAAGACTGTATTTTTATTATGTATTGAATGTTGCCAGTATTATTTATTTATTTTTTAACAACAAAATCCTATGTAAAATTCCTCGCAACTTGTCAACTTTGTAGTTGTCAACTTCGTTAGATGTCAACTTTCGTTTTCGTAGTGGTCAGAAATCTTTTTCCGACCTTTAGCGACATACACATTGGTGCTATAAATAATACAACGTTTTGATTGATAATAGAACAAACAGAAACCGTTTGATGTCAATCACCACCTCTTTAATCGTCAGTATATATTTCGGGCCATACCGTTATAGCAACATCCACGCCTATATCAGGAAAATACATTCTATATATTATCTCAATCAGAAGGGTTGTTATGTATACGGATAGCACCATGTCTAAGGCCCCTAAACGCAAGTACAAAGAGTAAGATGTTGATACGAAGCAGATTTTAGGGCTAGTGGTTGAAGTTTTGATAGAGATGCAGTTACAAACATGAAGTTCGCGATGGTGAAGGAGGCTGTGAAATCAGCAGGGAGAGCATATGATATACAAACTAGCATTTTGCCAGGCACATACTGTGCATATGGTTCAATAGAACAGTGATCATAAATTCATATCAATTTTCGGACTGTGTTAGATACATGATGTGTACATAATAATACAGGCGTTCCCAAGTCCAATGATCGCTGCTCAAAGTCAGTGCATTTCCCCTATCATATAGTCGGATAGGCCAAGAACCTTTTGGCCAATCAGATGGCATTATAGATGTCAACTCGGTAGATGTCAACTTTTTTTTCCAGGAACGGTCCTTGACAAGTTGCGAGGATCCACTGGATGTAAATATTTACTGTCATAGCCTTCTGAAAATAACACAAAACGGTGTTTCGTGTTGTCCGGACACATGCATTTATTTTATATTTCTATTTTTCTCCAGAGAGAGAAATAAAGGGTCATAAATTCATGATACAGTACAATTTTACGACCTATTTTTTTTAGATAAAAAACCTCCTTTTTTGGGGGGGGCTATCTTTATATTCTATATAACTGTCATGTAAATACATATAATATATATATTTACTTGTTACAAAACAAAATTCAAAAGAATTTTCAGTTTGGTCCTACGGACGTTATTTAGTACGTTCAGCCATATTTTCCTTCTTCCCTCTCTCTCTCTCTCTAGTACTATTTTAAAAATAGTGTAGAGAGTAGAGGGTTATCACTTGTGTGTAACAGCGTGTGTGAAGTTTACAAAATGCAGTAAATATTTACACAACTCCAAGGCTCCAACTTCCAAGGCTCCATCATTGTTGCCGTGCACCGCTGAGTCGGTACCGATTTCCAACGTGATTTGTGCTAAATAAAAATTAAGTCCATAAAATGTCCCTAAAATATAAATTAAATAAAATCCAAAGGAAGCCCGCCACGAAGCTATTAAAATTCGAAACAAGCTATTGTTCGAAACCCCAAAAAAAGAAGGCAGGAAAAAAATTATCACAGCCTTTTGAAATGAGAAATCAAAAGGTCAATACGTTTCACAAATACCTCAATACGTTCACATTCGACGTTTAAACTTTAGGGGATGCCGAACAGAATCAAAATCAGCAGGACAATTTTGGCACATGATGACTCGTCCTGTGTACTTTTTGAAAATTTGGGTCTGCTGTCAATTTTGGGTGCAGTTAGCATTCGAACATTTCAGAGAATTCTGATGGGAGAAGTGACTCATTTCTCTGTAAGACATCAAGACTATCAAGTAGTGGAATTTAAGTTGTTCACCAATCAGAAACGGTTACTGAAAAATCTGCTATTGTTTTTTAAAAAACGAAAAAAGACAGATGCAACCAAAAAATAAAATCCGAACATATTATAAATCAGAAACCTTTTTTTTTTCTCTTGATATTTTTCTCGATACTCTTGGCACAAATAGAATTCTTTGTTTTGTCAATATTGCTTTTTAAAATTATTGATGCAATTAGATTTATGTGAGAAAAAGCGCAATATCTAGAGTAATTATAAAATAGAACAGAATTTCTTCATGAAAAGGAGAATTCTTGGCAACAGGTGCTTGGCAAACGAGAGACTATGAAATAAATATTTCTGTCATTTCAAGTCTTTCAATTTCACAAATATATTTTATACTTCTTCACTACAAAAATTGTTCTCGAAATTTGGAATCAAAATCAGAAGTACGTATTCGAAAACATTTTACGGGAACTATGGTTATCAAGCCATACACCTACTTTCAAACTTTTAAAGTTTAAACCGTGTCAGCTTGTCCGTGCCGAATTGTTTTGTTTGTTACGTTGTGTTGTTCATTTGATTGTAGATAAAAAAATGATTATATATAAATAAATATACATCCGCTTAAATGTTTGAATGTGTGCGCACTATAATACCTGTGTTTTGTTATATATATATATATATACATATATACATATATACATATATACATACATACACATACATATATACAAATATACTTATATACATATATACATAAATACATATATACATATATACATATATACATATATACATATATACATATATACATATATACATATATACATACATACATACATACATACATACATTCATACATACATACATACATACATACATCATACATACATACATACATACATACATACACATACATACATACATACATACATACATACATACTTACATACACATACATACATACATACACACATAC